ATAATAATAATAATAATAATAATAATAATAATAATAATAATAATAATAATAATAATAATAATAATAATATTGATCAGAATGGCTGATCTGCTGCATTCAGCATGTTTGGATTTAGACGCTGCGTTAAACCCAGAGAGTCACTGCGCGTCGCGACGCTGCCGCACTTCCCGAAATTAAGAGAGAGAGAGAAACGAGCGAGAGAAAAGAGAGAGAGAGACGGAGCTGAAGCGGATAGAGCAGCGAAGAGGGGCTGCAGAACACACAGAACGAATATATAACCATGGCAACAGCAGCAGCAGCATCACAGGCACGAGACGCTGGGATATAACGCTGCATCTTTCTATCCGCAAACAGCGGCTGAACTCCGATGAAGGACTCGCGCTGGACCCAAAGCCTCTGCAGACATCACTGCTAAGGTGAGGCTGCTTCATTCTCCCTGACACCCTCTTCCTCCTCTCACTCCTCTTCCTCCTGCCCTTGCGGGATGCCTTTCGTCTGGATGTGGAGGAAACAAATCTTATTGTCATTTAAAACGGAGACGTGTTTCACTGGAGAAATGGTTTCTTTTGCTGCTTCTATGCATCTTTGTCTGACCTGTTGTGTCAGAGACCAAAAACACACAGAAGAATAAATAAAATCATGTATAAGTTTGGAAGCAAAATCGGTTTATGAAGAGTTTGCAATGAATCCTGTGACCTGATATGTCCTCATTCATGTTTTAAAGAGGTGAAACTGTTGGTTAAAGCTCTGCACAACCTGTGCTCTCCAGGTTGACTTACTCTCTCTGATGGTGTCATTTAAAACAGAACCATGGTGTCTACTGCAAACAAAGACAAAGGTCAGGAGCTGTGTTTTTGGCCCAGTCTGTCAACACTGGTGAACACAGGCCCATAGATTTTAAAGCTACACCAGACATTTCTGGGAACTTGATCAAACTAAGTTTGAATCCTATAAAATATTTCAGTTTTATACATCTTAGCAGTGTTTACTTGTATTCTGCATGAACGCTGCATGCATCTATGGAGTGAACACTAATCCATTATTGTTGCAAAGAGCATGTCTTGTTTTTCCTCTCCACTGTCGCTACAAGCATGCTTAGTGCTAGGGATTGCATTCGAGTTAATGAGTCGATGGTTTTCCTTAGATAGAAAACTTTGAATTAATATAACTGTATGATCTGGTGAACTGCGAAGTACCTTAAGATGACATGTGGTGTGAATTGGCGCTGTAGAAATAAACTGAATTGAATTCAGTAACTTTGCTATTTAATTAGAGTTTTTTTTTCATGTGATCTGTGCATATTTTTGTCATAATGTCCTGACTGTTTGTATTAATGAATTCCAACTTGGTTAGCTAAATTGTTTAGTTTACTTTATAGTTACATGTTTAGCTAAAAGCTAACGTTAAAAGCTTGGAGATGGATTTACTGTAATGGGGATGGACAAATCTATGGGGTAAATTAAGTTTCATTCTTTTTGAAAGCAAACAATGCAATTTAGAAATAGAAAAAAAAAGCATACCGCTTTGTAAATGGAAATTTAAAAAAAGCAATCCAAAATTGAAACTTTAATATTAATTTTGCTGTCTTATTTCGTTTTGTTTCTTTTTTTACTGATTACTTTTCTTTTTTACTGTTTCTATACATTCAAATTTAAATTTCCCATTTTTTTCTTCACCAGGTTAAGGTTTATAATTATTATTCTTTTCAAATTGCATTTTACAGATCAGACTCTCTTCCCTTCTGGGGCCGGGCTCTCCTCTGTTAGGAGTGAAAGTGGATTTTATTGGTCTTCATGGATACAACTAACCTATTGGCCATGAAGTTAAAAGAATTTGATCTGTAAAATTCAATTTGACAAGAAGGGAATTTGGAAAACTNAAAAGAATTTGATCTGTAAAATTCAATTTGACAAGAAGGGAATTTGGAAAACTTAATCTAAAAAAGAGCAATATAAAAAAAATAAAATAAAATCTGTAAAAAAGGGAAAAACAAATAAAAAAGCATTTGAAAACTAAAATCTAAGAAAAAAGCAAAGTAAACACCATCAACACCTCATGGAAAGAACCACCTTCCCACTGCACCTACAAATCCACTGCTGTTGGTAACTTCTGTTTTAAGAGATAAATGTTCACAGATAGGTTGGCTTTCTGATAGAAACTGCTGTTTACTTTGAAATCAACTCTTTGAATTAAACACCTTTATTAACAGCGAACCTTTCGAGGAAATAACTCACAAAGTTGAATTAGACAAAACATTGAATCAACACCATACTTTCAACATACAATTTAATTCCAGTTTATTTATATATTTATATAGCACAAATTCACAGCACATATCATCTCAAGACAATATGGTCAGATCATTCAGTAGGGGTGTAAAAAAATAATCGTTTTGTATCGATGCATCGATTCAACAGCCGACGATCCGATGCATCGACGCGTCCGCAAGATAATCCATTCATGTTTTTTTCTTCTCCGGTCTATTTTAATCCATTTGCTCCTGGATGTAATTCAGACTCCCATGCTGCGGTGGCGCTAAACCTATTTTGCCTTCCTACCTCGCTTCCTTTAGCCAAGACCCTCTTTCCTCTTGCAGCATTTTTTAATGCAAGGCCTTTCAGAATCTATAACACAGAGGCGTTTTTATAGGCCCAGGTGGAATACGACTTTACTACGTCTGTTATTTGCTGTTGTTTCTCAAATAAAAAGCATAATGATATTACAGCTTTTAATGATTTATTTCAAATTTGAAACATTGTTTAGCCTGTAAGCTAAAAAGAAATTAACCAATTAATGGAAATGAATGGTGGTGTATTCTTGAGTATCGAAAATAATCAAATCGTTTGGTCAGGAAATAGATACTGAATTGAATCGCCATGGTGGGTGGGATTTACACCCCTATGGTTCAGTCTATTTGGTAAAAAGTGTCCATCTTAGTTTTTAGTTATCAGTTACCAGTTATTCTGCTTTAATCTTTGGTTTATTTTCCATTATAGCAGTCTTTAGTTACTCTCTGCTGCCCCCTTGTGCTTGTTTCCTTTCCACTTTGGCTTCCTTCTAGTTAGTTCCACTCACACCTGCTCCTTATTCAGCTAATTAGTCCATCCTTTGTTCTGTTCCCCTTATATACACCACCTCTGCAGTCTCTCAGTGCTGTCTTTGTTGTTTTTTAGTTGCTTCTTCATCTCTGGCTCCCCTCGTGAGTTTTTCCCTGATGTTTTCTGGTCTTTTGGTTTTTGTATTTTTGTAATTTGCCTCAGTTCTTGCATCCTGTCATTGGTTTGCAGGACACATACATAAAAAAATATTTATCTAATAAGAAATTAGATTTTGCCATGATTGAACAAACATATAAAAAGATGAAGATCAGGAGATATAGATTGTTTATATTGCATCTATGGCTTGTTTTTAGCTCAGAATGCTTCTCATATGGCTCAGAATTTAAGACAAAGCATTTTTCTGCCATATTGTTTACAAAAACCGGCATATTTTGTGATGTTATCAACTGAAACGGAAGCAAGGTAGAATCTGCGTGGGAGGTTTTGTCTGCTCTTAAAAGACAGACGCTAACACCATGAAAAAAAAAGACCTGCTAATGGATGAATATCTCATTTCTTTGTATTTAAAGCCACCATTTGTTAAAATTATTGAATCACAAACAAAAAAACATTGTAAAATAAAAGATAAAATGTAAGAAAGATAAAACTTTTTGGAAGACTGCATGCACAGATGGAAGGCACTCATTAATAGGTTCCCAGTGACTCAGAGTTGTGAAAACAAACAGCGTTCACATGCAGCTCTCCAGAGAACACAACAGGCCCCCTTAGCTAACAAACGTGGCATTTTAATTCTGCAGACTGGCATAAATAAAATAAAAAAAGCTCTGATCATATTTTAATTTTAACCGGAGATTGTAAAGATCCAGCTCCAGCTCAGCGTGCTCTGCTCACAGGGATTTGGCGCTGTGATTTACCAACACACAGCATAAAAGCACCACAGAGGATTTTAGAAAGTGCTAGATTATGCCATCACATGATTGCAGGGCTGCCTCACAAGGTTTCTGTTAGGGCCTCTGCATATCCGCTTCCAGCAAATCCTCTTTCAATATCCTCACTGTCATGTTGAATTTAAATTGAGAATATTCCAAAATACTCATTTGAAAGAGAAGCTGGTAGCCCCTGCCTGTCCAGGCTATTTTTAGTAACAGGCCTTTGTTTAGGCGTGCTGCAGAGGGTTTGGACACTAATGAAGGGATTAATGCTGCAGATTAATGTCAGGCCCTTTGAGTTCTGCTCATATTCATTGGTTTAAAGCAGAGGGAAGGTGGTTTCTCTCTGTATCATGGGGACACCGACGCCATAATGGCCTGTTCCCAGTCCTTCCACCGTAACCACGTTGCATCCTCATCCTTCCCTGTCAAGACAGGAGATGTCAACCAGCGATCCCGGCAGAGCTGATGCTGACGGAAGCGACCTGAGGTGGAGGGCAGTTTGAGGGCAGCCCAAATTATTTTATTTTCCCTCTAAGGCGCTGGAAGTAGATTTACTGCGACCTCAGGACCCACAACACAACATGTCTGTGTTTGTGTGAGCCTGTGTCTGTGTGTGGCATGTGTTAAATAGAATTCAGACAACAGATGCTGGTTGCAATTACAGCTGTTTAAAGATTTGCTGAAAAACAAGAAAGAAACATTAAGCTTTTTAAAGTGTTTAAAGAGAAGAATCAAAGCATTAGTTACTGTATGTTGCAGGTTATGCAGATATATATATATATATATATATATATATATATATATATAGGCAGGGGCGGGGCTAGAAGGGGCACCAGGGGTGGCCTCATTTTCAATCAGCACCAATATGGCGAAAATTTCAGTGATGATAATGTTTTTCTTATTCAGAGGATATTTTGAACAAAAGTTCAAAGTATTTAATTATTCCATCTCAGTGTTAAACTTAACAAACCACATAGCATTTCCTGTCTTCCCGTTGCTGTCTAGATTTCAAAGTAAAAGCATACGTAGAAAAAAACAATGTGCATCTCCATGATTACACAAAGCATTTCTGCTTTCAGTGAGGTTTATCCACTCTAAAAAGGATCTGTGATCAATAAGGGTGTGCAAAATAATCGTCATGACGATGCATCGCGATTCTAATTTTTGTGATCTACTTTTGAGGGCAAAAATCGATTAGAAAAAAAAAAAAATGAACAAATAAAATACATGGATGGTTGGCGCACATCAGCCAAACCAAGTGGAATACAACTTCCAGTCCAGCAGATGTCGCTGCGGATGTGTTGACGCCCGCTGCTTTGTGTCACAAGCATGTCCGGCCGTGGGATACTGCGACGAGTCATATGAAATAAAACATGGAGGACACTATGAAAATTCGCCCCGCGGCTCCATCACATTTCAAGTCAG